TCTCCGCCCTGTTCCTCTTCTCTTAAATCTCTACCAAAGCTCAGGACTATAAACCATAAAACAAGTCTGACATAGCTGGATGAGTTCTGGGTGCTGATTACTCTTTATATACAGTACCTTAATTAAAATTTAGTTTCCTAAGATCCTAATGTTCCATTTAAGTTTCTAATAAGACACTAAGTGTAAATTTCAATGCTTCGAGCTAGTGGAGCCTTTCTGATTAACACAAGAACAGAAAACAGGGATTTTTAGGATCAAGCCACAGTCTGGCAGCTTTTTGCAAGATGAAGTGGGTGCTAATGTCCCTAAGTATCTAAACATCATTCAAACAATCAACAGTATTTGTCTTCCTTTACAATATGTCTGATGTGGGCAGGATAGAAAGCGTCGCATTGGGTTGTTTTATTTTTGGCATTGTCCACATCCACACTGATCATTTCATGTTGCTCGTCGACTTCACTCTGTACAGTGTTGGCATGCCCATGCAGGTTGGAGACCTCATTATCGATATGAGAGATTCCAGACCCAAAGCCAGTGGTGATATGTGTAGCCCTGACTGACTCACCGATGCTGCTTACCTCAGCATGAGTAGGAATTAATGAGTTTCAGGAGCTGACACTGAATTACAGGAGACAGAGCGGGAAAGACATCTTTCTTGTTATCCGGAATCACCAGTGTAGAGAGAACTGAAGGGCGCGACATGTCCTGATGTCTCTTTGTTTACGGTATAATGAGAATGCACCAGTATGATTCTTTAAAAGTTAGTCAAAGTTCTGACAGACCAAGAAAAGGATAGGGATTTTGGATAGTTTTCCAAGCTCCCTGATGATGTCCAGTCCCAGTATTTAAAAATATTCTTACTTTCAAATGATCTCTGCATGGCGACTACATTTGCCAAAAATCCTAGTCATGGCCAGTAGACTACACTGGCCAATACACAGAGTGTGGCACATTTGAAATGCATGTAAAAGGTCAATTAAACCCCTAGTCCAATGAAATAATAATCTTGCTCCTTGCTTTAACCCACTTAGTATGTCATAATTACTAGGAAAAATACTATGTTTTAACATGAACGTATCTTATAATGAGAAGGTTTTCTTGTTTTAACAAGAACTTAGCAAAAATTTCTTTCTTATGGTGGCAGCAATGTGCTGCCATAGGTGGTTCTTGTGCATCCTATGAAATATACTCCTGCGGGTACCACTGGACAAAGCTAGAGGGAATTTACTGTATACTACTGAATTGGAAAAAGGGACAGACAGAAACCAGTCTTTTTGGAATTGTTTCATTGATGATGATTTAGGAACTCACCCCACATGATGGCACTCTGCATCTCTGCACTGCAACTCCAAGCCTTAAGCTGAGTTTTAATCATGTCACAAAATATGCACTGGTTATCATTCTACATGCAGGGTCATTAGCAACTTTACATGCCTTGCAGATCACAAATCAAAGCATCCCCATTCAGTTACTTTGATTTGTGCTAGTGCTTGCAGCTGGAAAATAAACGAGCCCCTTGCTGTTTTATTTTTTATTTTTTAATGAACTCAGAATTCAGTGATTGTTGAACGCTTTGACTTGTGCTTTGTGGTGTGTTTCAGCTGCAAACAGGGTTAGTGGTGATTCCATATTGGAAATTTCTAGTATCAAAAACTGCAGCGATGGGACAACAAAGATGGAAGAAAGTATTTGTCAAATCAAACGTATTCGTTTTAGTCATAAAAGCACAAGCAGTCTTCTATGACACCAAATCTGACCACATAAGCAACAATTCAAGTAAAAAACAGCTTTGCTATTATTTATTAAAACTTGCCTCCCATGCTGAGAAACGCAGAGGAAAAGGAAAATAAAGAAATTTCTCATGTGGAAAATGTGTATACATAGGACTACATAAGTCAGAAAATGTTTTCAGGGCCTTTAAAACCTCTTGCCATATGATGTGATCTCCATCCAGGTACAGGAGCTGGTGGAGGACATAAAGCACTCCCTGGACCTCCGGCTGCAGGAGCTAGACTGGATGGATGAAGCCACCAAGGAGGCAGCCAGAGCAAAGGTTCAGAGCCTGACTCAGCTTCCGCATCATAAACACAGCTCCCTGCCAGATCCGATTAGTATTTGAAAAGGATTTAATTATTTCTTTGCAATTCTTTTCTTTTCGTTCTGGGGGTTTAATTGATTATTTGGTTAGATGGAAGTGAGTGATAGAATACATCAAGGACCTGACACTGGAAAGTGGGGATCGCCTAATCCGGATCTCTCTGTGGTGCTGATTTAGGGTCTGCACTGCAAGATATCCCTTCTAATACTTTTACAATCTGAAATTATAATCCTTTTAGGGGGGCATCCTGAATATAAAAAGCTTCTGTGTAATCCTATTACATTGGGTTTGCTTGGTTAGTTGGTGTGTGTGTGTGTGTGTGTGTGTGTGTGTGTGTGTGTGTGTGTGTGGAGCCTGGTATTACTTATGGTGTGGATATAAATCTGTTTACACAGTCAACTTGTGGGGACTTTGCATCCTCATGGGGACAAAAAGAAAATTCCAAAAATGTAAATCATTACATTTTAGAGTGATGACTTGGTTTGGGGTTAGGTTAAAGGTTAGGTGTTAGACAAGGAGTGTTCATAGTTGAGGTTAAGACTCCCGGAAAAGAATGCAAGTCAATGTAGGGACCTGGTTAGTGACAAAAACAAGGATGTACTGTATGTGTGTGTGAGGGTTTGGATGGTGCCCCAGTCCAAAAATGAGTGCAAGTGGATGTGGGCTATTGTTGGCCCTGTTGTTTCTGCTCCACTTGCTCCTTCTCTTCATTATCCTCTCTTATTCATCATCTCTTCCAGCTGAAGTACATGATGGTGATGACAGGATACCCAGATTTCCTACTCAAACCTGAGCTCATAGATCAAGAATATGGGGTGAGTCATGAGCCTCCAATCTCTCTCTCTCTGTGGTCTCCGGTCATCATCACCTCACACAACGACCCACACATAATACAAACCAATCGCCTTTCCCAGCATCCGTCTTTCACTCTCTGGCTCTCTAATTATTTTCCATCAGGCATTACTGGGTGATTGTATTCAGGTGGAACAAAAATATATCATGCACAGGAGTAAATGAACCCAACATACCCACCCTGATGAGACTGCTCAAATAAATAATATACCTAATGTCTCCAGACCTAACCATGGAGCACATGTAAAACCTGGTAGCAGGCAGCTAAGCTGTCAAAAAATGCAATCAAGACTTTGTTAATGGAGACCCCGTGGAGGTAGCTGCTTATTCCTCACATACAGACGGGTGACAAATTAAAAAACCAACATTAAGGGGGGTATTAACTAAACCTGTCGCAAATCACCATCAGGTGCACAAAATATTGCAGTACTGCAGTTTCTCAATTTAACAGCGTATTTAACCAGCACTGATGATGTAAATGAGCACAGCCGCAGCTGTGTTAATCATTTTTTTATTATATAAAACAGCACGGTAACAAGACAAAGCACTGAACATAGATACAGGATATTTACATATGGTTTGTGTGTGATGGTATGCTGTGTTCAATTCTATATAGAGTCTGGTAATAAATAAAAGAGGAGGGAGGGGGACTAAGGAAAGAGAAAAAGGGGGGAAAGCTATGTTAATCTGAATACACTTCTGCTTCAGGTCTGGTGTCTGAAGACCGTTGCACACGTGTGGACCAAGAGGGAGTGTAGAAAAAACGTGAAGGAAAGAACCACTAGCATGGCTCTATCCACTTCACCATTTTGCTGGGATTTATGTGACTCTGACATCACTGTGTGCCTGAAGTTTGTGGAGAGAACATCATGGCTTGGGGCTTTTTTGCTTCCTCTGGACCAGGACAGCTTGTGATCAGTGAGGGGGAAATTAATTCACGTGTTTATCAAAGAATCTTACAGTATAATGTCAGGGTGACTGTCCTCCAGCTAAAGCTCAGTAGAAATTTTATGGTGCAGCAGGACAATGGCCCAAAACATAAAAATAAATCTATTATAGAATGTCTTCAAGTGCCATTTGGAGTCAGAGCCCAGACCTTAGCTGAACAGAGCTGTGGTGGAGTGAGCTCAGAGAGTCGTTCATACCAGACGTGCTGAGAACAAGTCTGAACTGAAGCAGCTCTGTGAGGAAGAATGGCCTAAAATCCCTTTGGAAGTTTGCCCTGTTCTGATCCATAGTTACAGGAAGCACTTGTTTGAGGTTATTGCTGCCAGAGGAGGTTCAACCAGTTTTTACAAACACTGTCCTCTTTTTTCACTGGAACGGTGAATGTTTAACGGGCATGTTCAAAAAAGACACAAAAGATTTGTTTTGCTGTCATTAGCTTAAGCACATTGTCAGATAAGCTCTCATTTGATGACCAATTACAAACAGGTACTGTACTCCAGGGGAATCCAGTGTAGATCAGCTGATCATTCACTGCCCCAGGGGGCTTCACTGGCTGGCTGCTTGTAGGTTAGACCCAGTCAGGTAAAGCAGCAAGTCTCTGTATATGAACATTCCCACACATGCAGTAACCTCAGGCCCTGTAATTTTCTTCTCATCCTCTGGTCACGGTGCAGCAGCAGGAGGGAAATTATATCAACAAAACCAGGCGCAATCAAAAAACTCCGCTTTTAAAATGGCACCGGTGGATGTCAGGCAAGCTCACATGAATGTGCAACTGCCTGGAGATTATGACCAAGGGAATCCTTAAACTATCACGTAATACTTTAGATTGTTAGAAAAAAAGTCTCGTGAGCGAGAGTTTGCGAAACGTGTATAAACCGAGTTGCTTCTGCATAGAAGCACTAGAACATACGTTCACCTCATTCTTTGAAATTAGGTCCTAAGATGATAATTCACCATTGTAACATTGTAGATGAGTCATAAAACAAGGAAAAGCATGCCATGGACAAGTACATTTTGTAAAGTGTTTTCACTCACGCTAACTTCACATCTGTGGTTTTGCAGTTTGATGTGGATGAGAAGACCTACTTCAAGAACATCCTAAACAGTATCAAGTTCAACATCAAGTTGTCTGTCAAGAAGATCCATGAAGAGGTGGACAAGACGGCGTGAGTCATACCTCCACATACACGGTAGCCAGACACCTCCGCTCACTGACATGCAGCACAAAACAGTTAAAAAGGGTTGATATCTCTGAAATCATGCAGCTGAGGCTCACACCAGATGCTACCGTTGCACCACTGTGACTGTGTGTCTCTCTGATATGTATGTTTGACATGCCCAACATGTGTCCCTGGGAAGCTCTATTTGGTCTGACATATTTGTTGATGTGCCTCTAAATGAAACAAACAGATACTATATCGACATACGCAGCTGGAGAAAATCCATTTGATTTACTTATCTATAACAGCCAGGCAGCAGAAAAGTGCTGTGGGACATGTGGTTCATCTTTCTAAAATAGAGCCCTGTATGACTGGATTGAGTGCCTCTCTGGTATGACAACACATTATAGTCACATTAGTATTCTAAGGTGCTCAAAACAACTGTATCATTAGCCCACACTCAATGCCCTGAAGAGTTGAATCACATACTTCCCCTTTATCGCCAAAAAGTGAAACTTTCATCACTCACTCTGTCTGTTGCTGGGAAATAAAGAAAGAAACCGTCAAGCATGTGTTTGTCTCCCCTCCATCTCTCTGCAGTCCACACAAAGCCATCTGTCTTTCATTCCTAGAACAAGGGCACTTTTAAGAGTTAGTCATTTTAGCGGGATTTGGTGCCAATCGATCGGTCGGGTTTTAAGTGGATTACCATAAAGGAATGGACCGTGGTTTCATATGCAGAGAGGATCTTTGGCTGTGGGACCACACACACTGAATGTTTCTCACTGGGGGGTTTAGGCAGAGATAGGCAGAGGCATTTGGGATTCTGTTCAGGATCTGGGTGTATTTCGACTTTGTAGACCGGTGATTGTAGTGTGTGTGAGGGATCCCATTTTTAAAACCCTGTTTGTTTGGCACTGTTTTTCTCCTCAGGTGGCTTCTCCCCCCTCAGGCCCTTAATGCCTACTACCTCCCTAACAAGAATCAAATGGGTGAGTACGTGACTCCTCTTTGTACATACTGATATTTGTGTTCTCTCTGTTGTCTGTCTCCACACACACACTCACATAATCCTTCCACTATTGCCATTCTGCACCATGACGTGGACCGCACGTTAGTTACACACAATTCCACCATGTTGCCACCTGTTTTCAACAAGTTGAACGTGAGAGCTGCTTAGAAAAACAAAAGCCTACCCTATCGTATCATATTCCCTCTCATCGTTCACCTTCAACTTCGATCTCCACCTCACATAGTTAATATTCCCTGGAGGAAAAACAAGCAGTAACACCTTCCTGAGTTTTAACAAATCTAACCCTGTAATGTCAGTCCACCCTCGTTCCCTCCTCGCCTTGTCTTCTCCAGGCTCGGCCCACAATCTGTGCCTGCCTGCTTGCTGGATTATGTCTCTTGCAGAAAAATCAATGATGTGCTCACGAGCTGATGCTAGAGGACAGGAGGAGCCAGACAAACATAGTCATCAGGGCCTGTTGGGCCATTTTTTTAACCCACACACGTTATTTCTCTCACTAAACCAAGCCGTTTCATTTTTAAGCTTTTCCTTCCTTTTTTCTGATGTAGTCAGTTTCATGATCCCTTTCTTTAATCAAATTAATATTGCCCACATAAGATGTACCCCCAGCATAATGGCTTCCCTTAGTTCATGTCTAGAATTAGATTCTGTTTGATGATAGAGACAAGGTCAGAGGTTTAAGTTTGCTGCAACATAGTATGTGTATATAGTGAATGTTTCTCTCTTGATGAGAAACTGATATAATTTCAGTTTTTAAAGTCAGAAAATAATTGATTTTGCTGGCATCAGTTATTAAATCTACACTGTCCTACAGCATGTCAGCATGCTAATGTGCAGACAGTTGCATTAGCCCCTTTTGCACAGAGATCACAGCAAACTGTCGGGCGGCTTTTTAAATTTATGGCCCTTTTACACTGAACTCAAAAAAAGCTACAAAACTGCTGCTCCAGTGTTCATTTTACACAACTACCAGAATCCTGGTGCTAGAGGTGTGGTGCTTATCATGACAGCCAAAGGTCCATGCACGTGGCAGCCAATGAATTTTCATTTTGAAAATTAAACAATTACTTTGAGATATTTAAAATGAAACAGTTTGATATATTTATACATGGAAATCAGGACTTACAGTAGCCTACTACGTGGATCCAGTTGCAGGTCTGTGTGTTTGACTGAGGGCAGGGCTACACACAAGTGCACACAGCAGAACAGACAGAAGCTCTTGTTTTGGCTGCATTCACGCCAGATCCTTCCCATAGGGTTGTGCAGAGGTGTGCCTGTGTTTATTTGTGCTTTAGAGCGGAACCACAGTGAAATACTTATAAAATAAAGTTTAAATTCTCTGCTTTGCCAAGTTCTCACCAATGCTGCTCTCTCTCTCTCTCTCTCTCCCCCTCACACACACACACACCTACACACACACGCATATGTCACACCCAGGATCCACCAGCTGGTCTCTAGCAGGACACAGTTGTCACCATGGTGACAAAGCTCTGCAGATGAGGTTTCCAGAGCCCACGGTGATGTTTGGAAATTACTTGTCTTGTTCAACCAACAGTTCAAAATCCAATATTTAATTGACAATAATAGAAAACAAAGAATAATAGCAAATCGTCACAGTGTATTTTGCCACTTTACTGGACTCCATTTAAACTTAAAGCCCCTGAAAACTGTTTCAAATCTTAAGTTTTTCTTGATAAGATTATATATTCATGACTAAATAAGCAGCAATTAAAGTTTTGGGGAAAAACATCCCTAGGTGATATTTGTGTAGATTTTAAAACTGATTTTACACATGATGTGCAGTCTACTCACCTGTGAAAAGAGAGAGTCTTCTGTACTGTAGCTGGGGGGAGCTTTCCAGTACAGAAAGTACAACTCCAGTGATGCCATCAGCTGGAGACTGCATGCAAGACTAATAATAATAGTATCACTTGTGAATCTGTGTTCCAAGGCTGGATTTTTAGTTATTAGCCAGATAAGAAATCTCAGTAGGATTCTGATTGGGGTTTTCTTTCTTCCGGAACACAACCCGGGCGTTCCAGTTTCATTTTGGCTCTCTGTATGCTGAAAAGATCGAAACTCCTACGGTACTTGTAGTGCATAGAACAACTTTATTACAAGATCGAGGCGTTTCAACTTGTGGGCTTTGTACAAGCCAAAACACATTGGTTCTGCATTAAAGTTGTTCTACTGTATACTCTGCAAGTGCTGTTAGGGTTTTGACCTTTGCAGTTTATTTTTCCTCGTCTATGTACCTTGGTAGTGGGTGAAGTTGTTCCAGACATTTCTGCTTTGGTATTACTATATGCTGAAAGAAATGCATCTGGGTAAATAGAAACTTTATAGCAGCTGCACAGAGTATGGATGTTGCAGGCTGTAGGAGTAAAAAGACGTCTCCACTTCCCTCATGCTGTTTCTTTATCTCTCTTCCAGTCTTTCCTGCCGGGATACTTCAGCCCACTCTCTACAACCCTGAGTTCCCACAGTAAGTAGCCCTCCCCCCGATCCCCGCCTTTCCCTGCTGTTGTTCGTAGGAAGGCAACAACATCTCCACAGCCATAGCAACAAAGGTCATTATAGGCAATGTTAGTCTGACAAGCCTCTGCTTCCCTTGCATCCCAACACACCTGATTAAACCAGTTTAACTACCCACCAAGAGCTCAATTACTGAACAAGGTCCTGATGATGGGACAGGTGTCATTTAGAGGTTGCCTTCCTAAATTTGAGTCCATGGAGTAATTTGATGGCGTATGAAAGTGCTTCCCTGTCTGTCTCTGTCAGCTTTAGGCTATTTATCTTAGTTATTTTCATTTATGACTCTCAAATAAGTTCTTTCTGATGAGAAATCTATGAATTAGTCACAGCAGCACTGGTCAGAACTACTCAAATTCAGATTAGTCATATATTTAAATCAGAGCACATCACTTCTACTCCAGCTGTGCATTTTAGATAGAAGCATGTTGTATTTTTAACTATGGTCTGACAGATACAGGGTGTTTCATGGTCAATAGTAAGTTTGTTTTTTATATACAGCAGCTGATACCAAGTACACTGGAAACTATGACCTCTATAAACACATATACATACTCACCTCTGTAACAAAAAGTGACCATTATAAGCTTCTGATGTGGCAGAGCTGTTGTACTGGATTACATTATAGCTGTACTTAATAAACTGGCCGGGGAGTGTGTTTGTTTTCACCACTGATTTATTCTTTTCACTGTGGAAAACATTTACATTTAATATAAACCAATGCACTTTGAGGCAATAAAGCTGTCGATCAAAATGCAAAACAATGAATATTTATAAGGTAGGCTACTGGAGCTTGATGGAAATGTTTGAATACTAGTGCTGAGTTTTGATACTAATAACAAAACTGTCTCATTAGGAGAAATACCGAATAAACATGTGTTCCTTAAAACAACCCCCCCTCCCCCTTTTTTAAATTTTTGTCATTTAACAAAGCTGCTAAAGTTCCCAAAAGTTAAAATGTGATCTTAACACAAGCACTCGTCAAGAACTGAACAAACTGATCTGAAATTGCACATTCTCAGTACTTTACAGTACAGCTTTCAGTACTTTATATATAACATTCTAGCAGAAAAGTAGCTTTGATACTCCGCCAAATAACAAGACTGATAGTAATGAGTTTTACTGATATATTTAGTTTGTGGTAACCCCTTGTGTAACCAATGCCAAAGTATTAAGTAGGCAATTAAACTGCAGAATCATGATACTGAAGTGGAGAATACTAAGTGATATATAGCTAAGATAAAAACCTTAACATTAGATCCTAAAGCTTGGGAGTAGGCAGAGATAACTGGTGGTTAATGTAAGACAGGGATCAGGTTAAACATCATAAGAACATGACCTGTTAGGGTGAAGGTTGCATTCATATTAAGCTAAAGGGAAACACATACAGTATCAAATGAGAAACACACTTTCTTTCCCCAAGAACCGCTGACATTTGCCCAGAACGCTTTAGATCAGGGATTCTCAAAGTCCGGACTCTGGTCTGGATCCGGACCAGACGGCAAGTCAATCTGAAACCAGCCCACACCTCGTATTAGGAATGCAACAATACAATGTCATGATGTGTGTGATTCCTACTTTGAATAAATGTTTTTTACTTCTCAGTAAATCAGTACTTTTGTAGAATAGAGTCTATTTGTCCATTGTTACAGCGATCCTAGCCCAAGAATAAGGCCTAAACGTAATCATTTCCCTGTTTGACGCTGTTGTCACAGCAACGTTGACAGGTGTTTCTATATTTTTGTCCTCCCTGGTTACATACATGAGAGGGTTGAAGTATTAGCAACACTTCTAAATATAATGTAGTCCAGTACAATGCCACATTTAACTATGACCTCAATAATAACATATAACTGAATTTATACATTCATAACAATTTCACCAAAAACTGAAGCATGTTGAGCTTCATAAACATAAACGTGAACCATCGACACAAAAAGATCAGTTTTAAACCTTTGCAAGTTGATTTTCATACAATACTGGCATGAAATAAAACCTAATGTGTTTAGAAGGAAAGAAATCAGTCCAAACAGTCTAGGTGTGATTTGGAAAATGGTCAATAAGAAAGCAATGCAGTGCAGCACCGAGGAATAAGCAGGTAACCCCTTTGTTCCCACTCAACATACCTTTTGTTAAACAGTTAACTGAGGCACAGACCTACTGTTTCCAGTCTTGAGTTTTATTCTAAGCCAATACATACAATACATTTCAAATATGCATGTACCTCCTGCATTTATACCAGCTCCCCTGAACGAAACACACACACACACGCTCCTCCTCACAAATATGAGCTAATTAGACTTAGCAGCTTGTGTACCCAGCATTAGCTAGCACTTCTGTGTCTTCATTAGAGGTGATCGCCACTACGTCCACTACCTGCTGCCATGCATGCTAATCTATATTAATAAATGACTGTATTAAAGTGTGTGTGTGTGTGTGTGTGTGTGTGTCTGTTCCCTTGACATTATTACTGCAGTAGCCCTTACCTCCCATAAGCTGCCTCTCACACTCCCACTGCCTCACACACACACCCCTCCACTATCACATCGAGTATAATGAAGCTTCAATCAGCCAGTTAGTTTAGCGAGGGAGTCGGGCCCACTGAGAGGCAGCGTATCGACTAGCTGTCAGAAAGTCATTTTCAGACGTAGCCATGTGAGCAGCTCTTAGTCTGCCCTCTCCTCATTCTCTATATCTGCATGGGCTGCAAACATGACACTCCAGCTCATCCAAGGGTCAAGGACAGGTGGAACAACCCGCAGGTTTTTGGAAGCACTGGGTACTAGGATAGACACATGCAGGGTGTGGACCACTGGGTGCTTAAGCGAGGTTGGGATCTTGCATTAATAACTTGGGAAATTAAGATTTATGTTCAGAGTGCAGCTGAAGGGCCCTTTTCCCTCACATGTGAAGCAGATATCTGATGTTTTCCAATCAGTGTGAGCAGCAAAATGTGGCAGAGCTGCTTTTTATTCAGTACCAACCTGAACAACATGGATCCAAAATTAGATCCCAAGTGCAACTGCTGTTTTATTTGGCCTAGCTGAGCAGCATTAACATTGAAGACAATGGGGGAAAACAAAGAAGGAAAATCAAATGGCTGACCGTAATGGGACACCAGTGTTTCCAGAGTGGATATGCATACAAATCTAACTTCGGGCCATCTGTGCCCTAAAGTAAACACATTTAGATTAGATTCAACTAATCTAGTCTAAATGTGTTTACTTTAATATTAAAACCATACATCATATTTACTTTATTAGATACTATGTTAAAAAATCCAATACCTGCACTTTTATAATAAACAAAGGCCTTTGAAGCTAAATAAACATGTTTATATTATACATTAATGATATATGAAAGGTTTCTGATTTAGTGAAAGTGGTTTTGTTTGCTGATGATACTACCATATGGGCATCGGGTGAAAACCTACAGCAACTCTCTGGACCGGTTTCACAGGAACTTGAGAAGATAAAGAAATGGTGTGACAGTAATATAGTAGCTCTGAATTTGGATAAAACTAAATTTATGGTATTTGGGAATCGTAGACTAGATAAAGAACTTCAATTGAAAATTGGGGGAGCTAATATTGAACGAGTATATGAAATTAAATTTCTAGGTGTCATAGTTGATGACAAATTCTCCTGGAAATCTCATATCAGATATGTTCAGCACAAAATAGCAAAAAATATATCGATATTGGCAAGGGTTAGATATATTTTGGACGGGAAAGCACTACGCATTTTGTATTCTTCATTGATTTTACCATACTTAGAGTATGGCGTTGGTCATATGAATGAATTTCAGATCTTGTTTCATATACTACAGAAAAGTGAAACTTGACACAGTTGCCATACAGTAGATTTAGCAAACCCCAATGTTGGTCGCAATGGATTTTGTTGTGCCACCTGAAGAATAAGTTCATGTACTCATCACTCTCACTATTCCTCAGTATTATGAGATGATATGTAGTAAAATCGTAATTTAAATGCACTTTGTTGCTGACAGAGAAGTATCACTGTAAGATCTAGAGAAATCTAAGGAATTTAGGTTTTAAAAATGTGGAGTTCAGGAGGAATTGTGTGGTCTGTGCTTTATGATATTAACATTAAACATGATGATATGTTTTTAAAAATAGCAACTGTTTTTCAGAAATAATTCTGGACTCTGTCTTACAGGAGAAGAATTGCAGAGAAGGGCTCATCACCTGAACCTGACCAGAGATCAGTAAGTACCATAAACCAATGATGGTAAGATGATGTCATGGGGTAGGACTGGATAAGTCTGACTTCTTCCTACTCCATTCAAGCATGTACTAGGTATAAGTAAATTGATATTGGATTAGCATTTGTTGGATATGTGTAAAATTATGTGTGTTGACATATCAACTGTCTTTACATGCTTGAAAGAATAAATCAAATCAAACATGCTATGTCATCTTTTTGCTTTAAAATTTGAAAATGTATGTTTTTCGTACCTATAGATACCAAGGAAGTGTTTTATCTAACATTCCATATTTCTCCTCCCTGTTGCCAGGTCTCTGAACTACGGCGGAATAGGAGCTATCATTGGCCATGAGCTAACACATGGATATGATGACTGGGGTAAGAATACCCACCACCCATAATTCATTGCAACAAAACATATACATCCCCTGTTTTCATGATTTTGAGTTGTACCCTCACCCTTTCAGTGAAGGATTCTACTGTATTTCAGATAGAAAAGGTTCCCTGATGATTTGTGTAAATTTATGATGTCGGGTGCCCACAACTGTTTTGAGCAACAATCTCTAACTTTTATTTCCAGTCAATAGTGCTGCCCTTTTAAATACATCAGAAGAATTAAATGGGAGTGTGAAATTTCTGCCAACCATCTACCAAAATGCTGGAAAATAAATTTGAATGTGACTGGTAGGTTTGTGCACATAATGTTTATTCTTCAGTTTTTGGTTGGTTGGAAAAGTACTCCTATTTGCTGATGGGTACATCAGGCAAGGTCAGCTGTGGATGTATGGTTTGACCCCTGCAGCTACCAAAAAATCATATGCTGATAAGTAATGTAAATGCTGATATGCTGGGCAGCTCTTTGGACTGTGAAGGAAAGTTGCAGATTGTATTGTCTTCATGCTAACACTTCCCCCCCCTGCCCTTTTGCCCCCTCATCTTAGTGATGCAATGGTTCATGTCCGTAGGGGGTCAGTACGACCGGCATGGCAACCTCAAACAGTGGTGGACAGAGGAGTCCTACAGAAAGTTCCAGAGGAAGGCTGAATGTATCGTCAAGCTCTATGATAACTTCACAGTTTACAACCAGAGGGTGGGTTTGCACACACACAGCACAAGTCCTCATTTACAGCATGTATATCACAGACAGCACATTGATATGTGGGTTCACTGATCATTAGGTTTCTATTGAAAACCATATGTCAGACATGACAACATTCTTATGAAAGGAGCCTTCCACGAATTTAACACAGAAAGATCGGTTTACTTCAGAGTACTGAAAACAGGTTTATAATTTCTCCTGTGGCTCTGGAGAAAATACCTGATTACGTCTTCAGGGTTATGTCGGATCATGCTTGAAGATAAATTTATAAGACAAAACCTGCATTGTAATCTTAAGTTTGAAAAAAATGTGGGAACTTACCAAGACAGGGAGGTTCTGGTGAGGATAATAGGACCAGTGGGGTTTTTTTTAAGCTTGACCACTACTACGAACTTAAAAGTCTCACATCTCAGTCTCTTCTGCTTCAATTTTAAACTTTTTAGTCTCTCTCTCTACCGAACCAGCAATAAAGACATGCAGTTTTATACCGATGGCAAGTAAATATCCAGTGATCTTAAACTGTAATTTACAGGAGACAGGGATCCAGACTGGTGCCACCAAGTGTCTCAGATGGTGGCGCCATCTATCTCTGTTTTACAACATAACGCAAAAGAATCAGCATTTTTCATAAATTATTTTAAATAACCTTACCTTCCAATGTGCATAGCCTTTATTTATAATGAGATTCAGAGAGGGAAACATATGGAGCACAATAAATGGGAAAATGACTTGTGGAACAAGTTTCTACCTCTTTTTATACAGCCACCTTAGAGCTCTATGGCCTAGCAGTCAACATGATGATAATGATGATTATGTTATCAAACGGGGACTTCACTAGACATGAGCAGCATGTATACACGACTTAACTATTAGATCCATTTGATCCACACTGACTCCGACCTCCATTCACCGTCTCTTGTAAGAACAGCTGTCCGTCAGCAGGAGGACAGCACGGTCTTCGCCAGGCTGACTGACAGCAGAGATGTACTGGACAAAAATAGTTTTCATGTAGGCTGGTAAGCAAGGAATCAGCAGCGCTTGTATGTTCTGATTTATTTTTTTGTGGTCAGGTAACAGAGATATAAGGGGAATTGATCTAAAATAGCTTTGTAAATGATATACCAGTGAATCAGTCGCCGAGCAGAGAGATGGCGACGTAGCTTTGGAATAGTGCGTTAGTGGTTTTAAGCTAACAAATCTTAATACACTGCGATAGTGTCCAACTTGTGCTGGAGTATCCATGTCACCATAGTCCAGGACTGCTTGGAAAGTGGCAGCCACCAGTCTTTTCCTGACATTCAAGGGAAAACGAGATTTATATAAAAAATAAACCCCCAGCTTTAATCAGAGTTTCTTTACAAGGTGATAAACTGTCAAGTATTTGTCTGTATGACATATATGAAGTAAAACCAGCAGGTGATTAGCTTAGCTAGGTTAACTTGGCATGAAGACCACAAACTGAAACAGCTAGCCCGCTCTCTCTGGAGTCTGATTGCCTGGCAAACTCATGGCGTCGACAAGACTACCACTGCAACATGGCGAGCACACTATATAATAAGTAGGGAGTGATTTTGGACACAGCCTGTGATTCACCAGGATATAGTCAAGTCCCGCTTAAATCCTCAAGCTGTTTTTCCCCACCTTTGGATAGAGTAGGCTAGCTGTTTCTGTCTGTGGTAAGCTTAGTCTCCTGGCTCCAGTTTCATACTTAGTGCACCATGATCTTTTCAGGCAACTCTCTGCAAGAAAGCGTATAAGCCTATTTCACATAATGTAGAACTCTTCTTTTGAAATTATTGAATTGCATGACAGGATCAGTGAGCAGGTTGGTATTAGAAATCAGCCTTTGTCAGATCCTAGACAGAAGTTAAGTCCTCTAGGTACGTACATAGCAGCACAAAAGTATAAGCTGCTGAGACTCTGTGTTTCCTTTCTGTCTAGGTAAATGGTCGCCTGACACTGGGGGAGAACATAGCAGACATGGGAGGGCTAAAGCTGTCATACTATGTAAGTAATATCTGATAATATTTTTGTTCAAATATTGTGGCTTCACAAAACCTAAATAGTAGAGTTTGCTCTAACAGTGCACAAAGCTTTGGTCCCTTCTGTCTTGAAAATCTGTCTGTTTATTCTTTGTAAACCACTCTGCTTAATTTGCATAAAAGTAAAGGACAGCGTTGCCCCAGAATCAAGATAAAAGATAAACAGTTCTACTTGAATTCCTCTTCTCTGCCTGTATCTGTGTTTGTGTGTGTGTGTGCCGAGGATCTGAGATGCTGCATAATTCAGGTCCATACTTAGTGTCTCCGTGTTGAAGCGAGAAGTGTTTGGTGCAAAAACAAAAGTACAAAGGAAATTAATGAGTGCTTTTAAATAAATCATGATATCAGAATGCTACAATAGTGTCATACGCCTGTTAGTCATGGCAGGTAATCATACTGGCAAGTGAAGTAATAAGCAAGTTTTTCAAGCAAGTTTTTCAAGGATTTCTTCAAGGGGACACTAAATGCCCCTTTCATTTAAGCTGGAGAGAATGTGCTACTTTGGAAATGAGCTGTGGGATCATAATTTAATTTCACTTTCAATCCTCTGTCTCTGTCTGCCAAGGCGTACCAGAAGTGGGTGAGGGAGCATGGTCCAGAGAGGCCCCTGCCTGGGCTCAAATACACTCATGAACAGCTGCTCTTCATTGCCTTTGCACAGGTAGAGAAGTATCCCCTTCTCTTTTTCATTACATTTACATGTTGAATCGTTTTAGCTGCCATTCTGAGACAGAGCATTTGATCATAGAGAGCAGGTAGGAGCCATTTATTATCCCAACATTAGCTGATGAGTGCAACAGCAGAGTTGCTGACAGCAAAGTGTCTCTAAACACTAGACCACCCCTGCTCCTTGTAACTCTTACAGTACAACTCTTTTAAATTCTGTGGTTTTATTGAAATTCAGGGCTTATTGTAGTTTTCTTAGCTCATTTCTTAGCCACAGGGAAATGATATTAGTCATGTATATTTGTTAGGGCTGTTGCACCAGCGGTGCTTAGCTAAGATATCAGGACAGTCAGGCGAGGTTGTAGAGCGGACACTGCTCCACTCGTCTGTCATAGTTAACTTCTGTGCTGTCACTTGGGTAGCAGGATTGCAGGCGAGTCCTCAGATGTGTTGTCGTACTGGCATCAGCTTTTTTGAAAAGTCGGCACAAAATTTTATATTTGTAGATAATTTAGCCATTTGCAGGGAACCCAAAATGCTGTCACGCACAGTGTCTGAGATGCTGTTATTGTCCGGTGAGCACGGCTTTGTTCACTACTGTCCTGCATTTTGTTACAAGCTTAGTTTACTGAGCTCAATGGGAGAAGTGAACTGATCAAGTGAATTTTCAAAAAAAGCTGAACCAGAAGGCAAATTACTGCCCCGCTTATTGACAGAGTACATTTTTGGATTCTAACAGGTCACAGTTTGAATGTTAATTTTTAGTTGTTTTTTTTATTGTTTACATTAAGAGATCTCTGTGCATGTAGCATTTTACAGTGGTAACTGGTTGAAACTACTTTATGCAGTATGCTGTGAGTTTAGTCCAGTGGTTCCTGTCATACTGGTTGGGTCACTTCCATGGTGAACATGACAGGATTATTGGGCTAGAAAAGACAGAGGGCAGTATTTTCTTAATCTTTGCTTTTTGTGAAACAATGGATAATAGGATAGAAATACTCAAGCACAGTTTTCCCACAGTTGTACATGAGTAAATGTATTTTCTTACTTTCCATTCAGGAAGGTGCTTTGGCTAAACTGTTGTGTTAATGTTGTCTTTTCAGAACTGGTGTATGAAGAGAAGATCTCAGTCCATCTACCTGCAGCTCCTGACTGACAAACACGCACCAGAGCACTACAGGTACAAGATACAAACACATAAAGACACACAAGTCATCGCCATGTCAGATTTCTGCACATTACTTTTACATTTGAAAATAATTCTTTAATTCAGCATATCCTAAAAAAAAAAAAAAAAAAAAAAAAAGGATTTTTGCCCCCTAAAAAGCCGCCCGGTCAAGATACTTGTCAACTGAGGCTCTTCTAGTCAAACCTTTGTTTTTCTCAAGTTTTTTTGTCGACTAGTGTACATTACAATGGAAGGTAACCCCAGCCCCTGTTATTGTCCTCTTCTTCTCATTTTGGTGTCAGGCAGCAGTTTGCTCCCCCCTGTGGTCGGGGGGATTCCCACCTCACTGCTGTCACTGTACGATGCATGGATATACTGGGGTCGAACACTATACACCAAATTGCTGCCCAGTACAACGAGAAAAAGACAAAATCCACTAGGACAAGGCACATAAAGGTGTACTTTATTAGAAGTGTTTAAGCATTGTGGTCTGCTTTTACAAGAGAAAAGACTGTTGCGACAATGTGCATCAGGGTTGTTTGCTCATCTCCGTTAAAGGGCAACACACAGCCTTGTACAGTGGGTACGGAAAGTATTCAGACCCCCTTAAATTTTTCACTCTTTGTTATATTGCAGCCATATGCTAAAATCATTTAAGTTCATTTTTTTCCTCATTAATGTACACACAGCACCCCATATTGACAGAAAAACACAGAAT